TTAAATCATGGGTCTCTTCTGTAGAACAGGAGGCTATAATGAAGCGAAGGAGCTGTCACCCAAGGTTCAAACCAGAAAGGGTGAATGCACTACTTTCATTTTCGGCTCTTGCACGGGGTGGTGTAGACTGGGGCGGGACATCCACGTAAGTGGTGAGGGACACAGATGGGGAAGGCAGCGCACGGGGAAGGCACGGCCAGGGAGGAGCGGCTGCACGGTGACCCACGGCGGGAGTCAGCGGTCGACGCGGCGGTTCCGTGGCGTCGAAGTGAACCCAACTTCTGGTGCGCGTCTCCCGCAACCCCACGGGTCCGGCAGTCCCGTTCGACCCCTTCGCAATTTACGCCAGAGCGGCTTTAATAACGACGGCCTCGCCACCCATAGCCCATCGCTGGCGACGCTGCGTCAAACAGACGCCGCGTCGCGATCCTCGCTAGCGCCAAGCCCGGCGGGCTATTTTTAGACGCCACGTGACGGGGGCCACAGGATGAGGCCGTACGGACGAAGCGGTTCGGGTGGCCCGCGTCGCTCCGGGCGGCTGGCCGTGAAGTTACAAGACGCGGCGTGGGGGGGGTCTGCGGTGGGGCTGGGTTACGGGGCTCCGCTGTAACGTTCCAAGCCCCGTCACGGACTGATTATCCCGTGTTCGACTGAGGTGGGGGGGGAAGAGCTCCAAGTTACAGCCATGGTGCTTGCCTCATACTTCTTCCCTCCCTTGATGTTAATCAAATGCAAGGCGCAGTATCAGGTTCGCGGACCGTTCCCCCAATAGGAACATCTTGTGTGTATTGACGTGGGGACCGGAAGATATCTCTTTGACATGGTTTCGCTGGTCGGTGAGGTTTATTGTATTGGTGTCATTGGACAAAAAAATTAATCGCCTGGAAGATCTCACGAAAATATTAAATTGACCGCTTGGAGGGGATCGTTGTAGTGAATAATCTCGTAGCGTGTTCCATGAGCCACGTAATAATAATCCGAGGGCGAACTCGGCTAGCCAGCACAGCGCTGCTGCGTTTCCACAGATTTTGTCAATGTGACTTGGTCGCCATTTTGAACCAGAGTCAGAAAAACGAGGGTGGCATCAAAACTCACGCTCGACATGCGAGAAGGGGGCGAGGATATCCACTAATATTGCGATCATGCGCCAATTCTTTAGTTCAAAAAGAGTCTTATGATCACGAAAACAGGTGGAGTCGTGCACGAGCATCAATGACTGCCGATCCCGATGTGTTGACGTTGACCCCTGTAGCCACCAGAGGCTGCTGCATTCACCGTGACCTTGACATAGAATAGATTATTGAATCAAATCGTGACATCGAATCGTGGCATTTCATCAAAACACGCGGTGGAGGGGGCGGCGGGGTGCAGTGGGGTCGTAGTTAAATGGTTAATTCACACGTGAGGATTTCAGCCCATTATCAACGTCAAAGGTGAGTGGCGTCAGGGTGAGTGGAAAAACTCGCGCGTGCGGTCTGCTCTGTTATTGTATCACCGCCCACCTCGTAAAGCGTCACTCGCGGAGTCCAGGTGAACGCGGCGGTGTTGTCACAAAGCTACCTGGAGCAGCCACCTCGTGCTGCGAGTGGAAACGCTAACCGAGCGGACAGCGCCGTCTCTCCTCCAACACTGGACGCTACTCGCTAAGATCGTTTTGTCGCTCGGGGATAAGTTGGTGGCCCAAAATGACCTGCAAGTATAGACCACGTGTCCAATATGAATCCCTCAATCAGGAACAACAATAAAAAAGCCGGGGTCTGCCCCAGCTGTGCGATACAATCCAGCAGTCCAGACTGCATTTAGACACGAACGTGAGCCGGCCTCGGACTGACGGTACAGAGGAACAATGTACGTTGAGATGATGATGATAAAAATGGGTTGGTATTTGTGGAGGGTATGGTGGGTGTCACGTTGGCGAGACATCCACGGCAGTACTCGCATTTATTTTCTCGAGTTTGTCATGGGGAGAACTGTTGTGTGTATATGTATACTGTTGAGTATTTTATGATTTACACAATGAATGGGAAACCGTTGCAATCATTTGTTCGAAGCTTGTGTGAAAACTCTACGTCAACAAAAATTAAAAGCAATAACTACAACTTCTCATCGGTGGTTTATGCAACAAGAATTGCACATTTTGAAATGCTCAGAAAACAAACCGAACACTGCAAAATAAAAAAAAACCCAAATAAATTATTTATTTTCCCTTTTATTTGACTTAATTTAACACATCGACATGAACAGGAGGTTTTCCCTTGGCAGTTAAATGTATTAATTTGCAACGTGTCCAAGTAATTCAGTGTCACGCTATCTCCCCCGTGCCAGTAATCACGACGTTGACACACACTTTGTCCACATTGAATGTTCAAAGCATCGGACACGGCCTGAGTCACGTGCGTGGATGCCTGTCGTGAGTAAGCATGGGTCAACATTCGTCACACGTGCACAGGACTAAAGCGCCCCTATACACGTGACCGTAATTCACGGACGTAGACTCACTTCATATCAATTTGATTTGTTTAATATTATTGTGTGAACAGGAAGTTCAGATGCAACAATAAAAATGTCCTGTAACTCTGCCAAGGCCACTAAGCCTGTCTTGCCGCCATATAACAGTAATCATAAAATGAAGGCAATGTAAAATTACTTATCAATCATGCCAGGAACAAAGTAGTAAAATACCACTATCACGCAAATTACTTATCACCACAATGTAAAAAACCCCGTAACAATCGCAGCATTAACCAATGACAACGTTTACATGCCATGTGAATGGTCATAAATGTTGACGTTCGTTTGGCCGGTGAAGATAATTAAGCTATATTGTGCTTGCAAGACAACCTGGGTCATTGAAGAGAGGTGGGTAATTCAATCTGGTGTGACAGATACCACGAGGTCGTGGCCCCTTTAACCCCTGAATTATGGTACATGTTACTAAAATGGAACCGTCGGAGATAGGAGACGTTTATCTCACTTCTGTGAATGCGCACGTACCCAATATAATAACGACAATGAAGAGTTCCTTTTTCTTCCACCGATCGACGAAAATGCCACGCGCCTCGAACTGTTCTCCACCCCACTCTCCTCCCCTGCTGCGATTTGATGAATAGTCACGATTCGGATTTGATGAATAGTCACGATTCGGATTTGATGAATAGTCACGATTCGGATTTGATGACTAGTCACGATTCGGATTTGATGAATAGTCACGATTCGGATTTGATGAAGTCACGATCGGATTTGATGAAAAGTCACGATCGGATTTGATGAAAAGTCACGATTCGGATTTGATGAATAGTCACGATTCGGATTTCATGAATAGTCACGATTCGGATTTGATGAATAGTCACGATCGGATTTGCAATTCGAGCTTCAATTACATGTCGTCCCCGTTGCTACCCTCTCTGTTTTGCTCTTTTTTGTTTGCACAGTTTTGTTTGCTCCATAGGCCCGAACGTAACGTGAGCAAAAACATTTTCGGTAATTTGCAAGATTTGTTGTAATTTGTACGATTCCGATCATGTCTAAGATTTTGACACGCCTACAATTTGCCAAAACCTTCCTTTAGTCAACTGGTTTTTATCTTGACATACACTTGGCCACATGATAAGAATCCATGGATACAGTTATTGTTTACAAATGTTGAACGCTCAAAGCAGATTGTAATCATCAGATCATTCTGCACGATGTTTGAGAATTCATGTCTCACCGCAGACGGTGCAAGGATCAACGGATCACGACAAATAAATGATGATGATGATTTCTTTGAAGGAAATGCTGCAATATGTGCAGCCACATTCAATGCTGTGCTCAATTTTAGGGAAGTGAATTCATGGACATCACACTTTTTGAGAAGACTTACAGTAACTAACTCCCTTCTCTTATTCGGGAAAGCCATTTTCACCCACTGAGTATTTAGGACACCGATTAGTTAATGTAATAGTTTCCTGATAATCGCCATCTTGTTATTGTAGAATGTGTGCCAAAAAGATTGAGGCATTGTTTATTCAACGCCAAGCACAGCTGAGTGACCACAGCAGCTACCTTGCTGCTGTGACCACAGCAGTGACCACAGCAGCTACCTTGCTACTGTGGTCACAGGTAGCTGCTGTGGTCACTGCTGTGGTCACTACTGTGACCACAGCTGCTGTGGTCACAGCAGCAATGTAGCTGAGAGAGAGCGGAGGTCTCGAGACGGTGACACGACACACGGTGGAGTGGCCGTGGAGAGGATGGCTCACGACAGCGACGGAGTGGCGACAGGGACCAGGCAGACCCCCGGGTGAGCGGGGCGCATTCCAGGAAGAAGAAGAAGAAGAAGCGGACGACGAAGAGGAGTAGAAGATGTCAAGACACGGATTTTCATTTTGAAGCAACGCGGTTGTTTTATTTTGATTTAAAGCTTTCATGACTGCAGGGATTCATCTTCTTGGTTCTTTCGGTAAAGTCACGTAGAAGGGAAATAATAAAATTATTGTTTCCCTTCTATGTGACTTTACCGAAACGCGGTTGTTGTTCTGCTGCTCGTCAGCGTGGACGTCTGAAAGAGAACCTCGGTCGACATGGGAGGCAGTGCTCAACACCGTTCCACTGCTGCCACTTGAGACCCAGCCGCGTGGATCTCTGGTGAGAAGAGTGCGTCAATCACCAGTCACAGCCCTTCACCAAATGGGCCTTGTAAACCAATCAAACGCATTGTCGGGACTTCATTTCACAGCATCGATCGATTGGCTTACGGAAACTCTCGTGGTGAAGAATCAGCATCATGATTATCAGCAGCCATGATCTATCCACCGCTGGATGAAGACCTCCCAGAATCAATCGCCATCTCTCATAGACCCCCAATGCCACAGTCCATTTAATATTTTTGCACAGGGGCCAATCTCAATATCTTCATCTCCGCAGTGCGCATCCTCTTGGGGACATATGAGAAAAAAGGTCTCCTTCATTTGTAATTTATCAGTTTTTCCTTACATTTATGCAGGCTTTGAACGCATTACCTTATTACGAGCCATTCTCTATCCACGGCTGGATGACGCCCTCCCACGTCGCCACCAAATCTCACAATCCATCTTGCTCCTGCACACGAGCTGACATTGTCACTCCATCTCCACAGTGGTCATCCTCTCGCGAGCGTGCAAAATTGTGTTTGCTCTCCGATCAATGTGTTCCTCTGTGTCTCTCAATGGAACTCTAAGCATGCATCTTCGTGGCACTTTTCAGCGTTCGTTCCACGTTCTTTGTGAGTCCGTGTTTCTTAACCAAATGTCATAGCAGCTAATACGAACCGATTGAGTACTTTCCTTTTTCGCCAAATTGGTATAAGAAGCGAACGGGTCTTTAATTGGTCAAATTTGCCACCCTTTACGAATGGTTACGTGACTAATGTCAATGGTAACGGCTGGTATACATCGTAAACCAAATACACACGCATCGGCGTTTCTGTCTTGAAATACTACGTGGCGCATATCACGAGGCCGTGAGCGTGAGCCCAGAGACATGGGGCGATGCGGGAGCTCGCTACGAATCCAGCTGCACGCAGCATGGTGCATTCACACCGACGACGGAGAGTACACAAACATAATCAACACCGAGGTGGGACATAAATGTAGCGTCGCTATCAACAATAACCTGCAGGTTGCAGGGTCAAGTGAAGAGATAAATAAATAGCCAGAAAGAGCTCCATCGTTTACGATGTGCGTACATGGCGTGCGGCAATTTTCATTTATGTTTTGTGTCCTGTGCTATTACAATCTCGCACGCTTGTGTTGTGAGGGCGCCTTAGTCTGGATCTGTGTGTGTTCGCGCGTGTGTGTGCGTGCGTGTGTGTTACATACATGGGGAGCGGTAGCGAAACGGTTAACGCACTGCGCTACGAACCTGGCCACCCGAGTTCAATTCCTAATGGCCAACACAAGTGACGATTATCTGAACCGGTCCTGGGCCTCCCCTAGGACGACTCAGCCTCAAATGAGTACCTGGTGTGGTCTGTAAACATCGCCACTGGGGAGACAAAGGCGGCCGGGCATGGTGCTGGCCACCCACCCTCTCGTGTGCCGTTCTGGCCTTCTTAGATGCTCGCTAACAGCACTTGCCCCTACAGTCTGTTACAGGCTATACGGGGAATCTTTGTCTATTTTTATTACATACATGGTAAGATAAATAACCCAAGAATATATATTTTAAACTAAGCCACGTCGATCACAAAGTCAGTTTAAATCCCAATTCTGTTCCCGCTAAACTAATAGTTGTACCTTAAGTTACATTTATCGGCCCTTTTTCAATCCACTGCTGGATATAAGCCTCCTGGCGCCTTGTCGGTAATGGTGGATGTTTGACCAAACTTTACCAGGCTATTCAGTGCGGGTTGGTGAAGGGAGGGCGCTACCAATCGATTCAGATATCACTCACCACTGATATTAGACGCGGCCGGGAATCCAACTCGGGTCATTGAGTTCAGAGCAGAGTGCGCTAACCGCCACACCGCCACCCTGCCCTGCCTGGACCCACATCGATATGCATCGCCTCCACCATTCGGCGATTTTCTTAACACAGCAATAAACCAACCTGTACATTCGGGTACATTGGTAGAAATTTCCACTTCAGGAACGCTTCTAACAGTGGTAAATAAACCTAATTTCGGAATCATCGCACGCGTACGAAATGCAGTTGTCGCATAAATAAAGACGCAGCATGGACACAGACAGCGTTACACACGTGTGTTAATATACGTCACGTATATATACACACACACACGCGTGTTTTAAATCGACGGCGGTTAAAACGCAGATCGATTGTGCTCAGCGGTGAGCGTTGGCCGCCTCTCGGTTGCGTCGGCCCCCTAGCTAGGGGCCGACCTCCGCTCTAATGATGACCCCCCCCCCTCCCTTCCCAGCCGAGCGTCGACACAGTTGGGGCTCATCAGAGCAGCCCTCGACACGGCCAGCTCCGTCTCTCACGGGCACGTTGCTGGCCGCCCCCGTAACGACGCCTCGAGCCGCCCCCCCCGGCGTTCCGAACGTCCCCGGCGATGGCGGCACGCACGCCGGGCGAGCGGAGCCAGGGCGGCCTTCTTCCTGGGACGTGCGAGGCGGCCCTGGGGGCCGCGGCTGCAGCGGCCTAACGACGGCGACGACGACGACGACGGAGGCGGCGGCGCGCCGGGGGGGCGGCGGCGCGTGCCGAGTTCGATAAGCGAGGAGGCGAGGGAGATAAAAGGGGCGCGGGAATGCGGGTTAGTTAAGGGCCCTCTGTGACCACCGCCCACGCGTCGATGTGGAGAGGTCGGGAGGGTTCAGTGGGCTGCGGGCGCGTGTCGCGCGGACCAGCAAGCCCTCCGCGGGCCTCCGCTCACCGACGGCCCGCGGTGACGGGGACACCCGATCACCAAGCTCCCTCTCCGCCCCCCCTCCCCCGCTACGAATGAATGGAACGTGCAGGCAGTGGGGGTTTTTTTTGTAAGCGATCCTCCTCCTCCTCCTGTCGGAAAAGTACCGGGAGGTGGGGGGGGGCCCTCAGAGGGCAAAGGGGACACGGCTGGGGGTAGGTTCGGAGGGCGACACAGGGGACCGTAGATGCCTCGTGATATCTATCAAGCTAGAGTGAGAAAAGTGCCGCAATTAAAGATAATCTAGATAAACGGAACCGTACCGAGGTATAAAGTGATGAAGGTCGATGCCAAATCCGTCATCCGTTCTCGATCGTGCGGATTAGGTTCCACACTCAGCTGCGGCTTTTAAAACTCGACGCGAGTCAAAAGGTCAGTGCCGGGGTCAGTTTATGCGGAGGACACGGCTGAAAAATGGAGCCCCTTTACGGGAACATCTCGCAGCGGTGACGACAACACACGCAGTGGCACGTGTTCCACAGGCCCCTTTGCCTTTGTGTTTACAAAGCCAGAGCTGTCGCCAGGCAAGGCCACTCTTGTTTATTTACTTTTTGCTTCACGTTCACGTGCATCGCGTTATCAGCATTCCAGAGGCCCGCCAATCCATGGCGGCTGGCGACTCACGACCAACGCGCGTGCGTCACGTTGGGAGATTTTGTCAACGTGTTTAAATGGGGCCTCTGTTTTTTTTTTATTCCAAGGGACAACTTGGCCCCTGCTGTGGCCCAAGTACAAAGTGCCACAAAGTGCCACAAACAGACCGATGCGGGGGGGGGGTGAAACGGCGCGTACTGCGGTGTCAGTTCAGGTTGCGCTCTGCTGGGATCGAGCCAGACGTTGGGGTACAACTTGTACGGCACCCTTCTCTCTCTCTCTCGCTGCCATAAAAAACACCCCCCCCCCTCCCCCGTGCCACAATTTTCTCTCCGTTTTTTAAAACTCGGGGACGTTTGTTGCAGGACTTGCACACACTGCTCACAGTTCACGGCCACAGCGAGCTCAACAGGCGGCCCTGTGTGTCCCTCTGCGTGCTCAGCGCCCCGAGTTGGCGGCTTTGTGACGCATTCGCCGGAGGCGCGGCGTCACGGACGAGCCGCGCTCGTGTCCGCGGCTCCTTGTACGGCTACGCGACGATGCGCGGCGCTGCCGTGACAACCGCTGCTTATGGAGCACCTCTGCCCGGCTGGCACGTGTCACGAGGGCACGGCGTGCCAGGCACTACGTCCGCCCACTGGACGATTACAGAAGGAAGCGGCGAGCGAGCGAGCGCCTTTGTCTCTCCGGCGCTGATGTTTACACACTGCACCTGGTACTCATCAAAACAAATACGTTTACCGAGGTAAGGCCCCGGGGCAGGTTCAGATATCACTTGCTACTCGAGTAATGTTGTTATCCATGACCAGGAATCCACCTCAGGTCACCATCGTTCCTGCACAGCGCGCCTCCCTTCACAGAGACGAAGACCATCGCTATGCAGCCAAAGAAGAATGCCGGCCTTCAGAGGCGCTCGCTCACAGCACTTGAACAGTCGACGTAGCGATTACCCAGTACACAAAGATCCCCCGTATAGCCATAACAGGCTGTGCTGTTAGCGTGCTGCTAAGAAGGCCGGCACGGCACACGAAGGAGTGGGTGGCCAGCACCACGGCCTATACCTCCCCAGCGCTGATGTTTCCACACATTGTGCCAGGTACTCGTTTAAGGCTGAGTCGACCTAGGGTAGGTACCAGTTCCAGTCATTGTGTTAGCAATGGACTCGCTGGGTTCATAGGGTAGTGCGCTAACCATTACGCAATGACACACACACACATGTAAATAGTGTGTGTATAAATGCACATTTACTGCAATAAAATTAAGCACAGAAGCAAAAACAAGCCTTAGAATTAAAGCTGTTCAATGGTGCGGAATGGATGCTTAGTTTTGCCGATACCATTTATATTCCGCATAACGGCCCGTCACTGATACCGCATCGTCAAGCTTGTTTTTAAAAGCGTATCGTAAAAAAACCCTCCATCATTGAAATAACCCCCCAAAAATACTTAATGACGTGCTTTTATTTTCTTTCATAATTCACAAACTGTCTCGGTGTGCATATTCTTGGTTCTTTCGGTAAAGTAGAAGGGAAAAATAAAATAACATTTTTTATTATTTTATTATTTCCCTTCTACGTGACTTTACCGAAAGAACCAAGAATATGAATCCCTGCAGTCACGAAAGCTTTAAATCAAAATTTGTCTCGGTGTGCTTGCTCTCACTGGGATTTCTCAACTCGCGTGGCCGGTGTGAGGTTTTAGTTCGTGACGATGGAGCCAGCCCAGGGGGAACGGCAGGAACGGTGGGAACGGTGGGAAGTGGGCAGGCGGGAGGGACCGGGCAGAGGCACCGCGGCTGGGTGGCGGGGCGCGTCGACCCGTCGCCAGTGCACCAACACTCTGGCTTTGCGCCACGACTGAGCATTCCACTCGGGCTGTACCTCTGCAACCCTGTAGCATCAAGTCTCCCCATCTCGTCTGGCCATACGCACGATCCCTCCCTCTCCCTCCTGTCTGCCTGCATCCGTCTACGCGGTGTGTGCGTAGTCGGATGTACACACTGCATCTTACTACGCGGTGTGTGTAGTCAGATGTACACACTGCATCTTACTACACGGTGTGTGCGTAGTCAGATGTACACACTGCATCTTGCTACACGGTGTGTGTGTAGTCAGATGTACACACTGCATCTTACTACACGGTGTGTGCATAGTCAGATGTACACACTGCATCTTGCTACACGGTGTGTGCGTAGTCAGATGTACACACTGCATCTTACTACACGGTGTGTGCGTAGTCAGATGTACACACTGCATCTTGCTACACGGTGTGTGCGTAGTCAGATGTACACACTGCATCTTGCTACGCGGTGTGTGCGTAGTCAGATGTACACACTGCATCTTGCTACACGGTGTGTGCGTAGTCAGATGTACACACTGCATCTTGCTACACGGTGTGTGCGTAGTCAGATGTACACACTGCATCTTGCTACACGGTGTGTGCGTAGTCAGATGTACACACTGCATCTTGCTACGCGGTGTGTGCGTAGTCAGATGTACACACTGCATCTTACTACGCGGTGTGTACGTAGTCAGATGTACACACTGCATCTTGCTACACGGTGTGTGCGTAGTCAGATGTACACACTGCATCTTACTCCACGGTGTGTGCGTAGTCAGATGTACACACTGCATCTTACTACGCGGTGTGTGTGTAGTCAGATGTACACACTGCATCTTACTACACGGTGTGTGCATAGTCAGATGTACACACTGCATCTTGCTACGCGGTGTGTGCGTAGTCAGATGTACACACTGCATCTTGCTACGCGGTGTGTGCATCGTCTTCCTCCGGTGCATGTGAGTCTGTGGGTGACGTTGGCTACCTCAGCCTCTT